GTGTTTGCAGATTTTTAGTTCATTGTGTAGTTGCTCTCCCTGTTTTTATTTGGAAATTAAGGAAGAGTCACTGGTGCTTGCTACAGTTGCTACTAATTTTTTTGGTGTTCCAATTAGTGTTAGTTTAAAAAAATTGCTCTGGAAAAGGGAATAAATTAAAATTAAGTTGAATAATCAAATATTTAGTTCAGTTTACTAACCTGACAAACTACTGTGTGTCAGTTTCTTTACAGGATTGTGTTGAGTTGGTAATGAATGGGAATCCCTCCCAAATGGAGCCTCCATTTTCCAAAGCTACTTAGTGCTGTGCATTAAGCAGCCAAGTTGTGTGCATGTGCTCTGGGAGAACACAACATGTGCCACTTCTACCCATGAAAAGTAAGGACAGTTTTATGAGTGAGATGACATTGGATGTGGGTTTTAAAAGATGAGCAGAAGCTTGCAAGATTGGTGAGGTTCTGAAGGAATCCTAGACAAAGAGGTGGTGCAAAAGCATAGATTAGATAATGCAAGACATGCATAAGCAGAGATCAGTAGTTAAGTGGATTTAGAGCAAAGACCCTGGGGTCCTGGAGAGCAAGTTAGAGTTGTATTTACGGGTATTGTATGCCAAGGAATTTGGGCCCGTGGACATTCCTATTGGATTAAGTCTTTGTTTTAGAGTGAGAATTCTGACAACACAATGAAGGATAAATTATAGTTCAGTGGAGCAGTGTGTGTGTGTGTGTGTGTGTGTGTACCAGTGGCTAAATAAATAAGGCGCTGGTGAAGAAAGAGGGAAGGGAAAGTATTGAATAGTTGAACCTTTGGAATTGGTACCTTGGTCAAACGGCTGCAATGGCCAGGGATGGACCAGGCTGAAGCCAGGATTCCATCAGGGCCTCCCTTGTGCGTGCAGAGGCCCAAGGACTTGGGCCAGCCTCCGCTGCTTTTCCAGGTTAGCAGAGACTGGATCTGAAGTGGAGCTGTAGGCGGTAGCTTAACCTGTTGTGCCACAGTACCACCCCTATATGGAGGCTTTAAAATAGAAAACAAAGCAAAGCCTGCCAACTGTCTTCTCCATATTTACTTCATTCATGGGGATTGGGGGTTTGGATGTCAGCAAGCATTTTTTAAACTGTCCCCACGTGATTCCTATGTGTGTAAGGATAGGAAATTCCAGACTTGGTAGTCATTAAGTGAACTACAGCAAACCCTGATCTATCAGTTACTCATCCCACCAGGGATGCCTATGTGGCATGCAGTGGTCTAGTCTGAGTTGTAGGTGCTGGCTCAGTAGGGCCAAACTATACTTACTCGCTCATAAAGACTTCTTACTGGCTTCTTCTCCCTTCCTTCCTCCCTCCCTCCTTTCCTGTCCTGTCCTCCCTCCCTCCCTCCCTCCCGTCCATCTTTCTTTATTTGAAAATCAGAGTTACACAGACAGAAGGCAGGGCAGAAAGAGAGAGAGAGACAGACAGACAGACAGAGGTCTCCCATCTGTTGGTTCACTCCCCAGTTGGCTGCAGCGGCTGGAGCTGTGCTGATCTGAAGCCAGGAGCCAGTAGCCTCCTCCGGGTCTCCCACATGGGTGCAGGGGCCCAAGGACTTGGGCCATTTTCTACTGCTTTCCCAGGCTATAGGGAGAGCTGGATTGGAATTGGAGCAGCCAGCACTCGAACCGGTGGCCATATGGGATGCTGGCACTGCAGGCGGCAGCTTTACCCACTATACCACAGCGTCAGCCCCTTCTTATCTCTCTTTCTTATCTTTCCTTATTAAAAGTTGCTGTTTGTGGCATTTGTCTAGTCTTTTTATAGTTGCTTCTCATTTTTAAGTAACAGAATTATCAAGCTGCATGCAAATGAACATTGTAAAATATAGAGTAAAAGATTAATCTACACTTCTCTCAAAGAGAATAAAACTTTACCCTGGGTGTTTGTCTTTCTAATAATTTAGAATTATAGTCTTCAGTGGATAACCTTGTACATTTGTTTTTCATATTGCTGATGTATGTATCTTGAGGGTATGTTTCTAGAAATTGATTTGTTGTGTCAAAAGATAGTTGATTTATAGTTTTGTTAGTATTACGAAGTCCTCTCCTAAAGAGCTGTAGCATGTTTCATCCCCATTAGCAGTGTATGGATAATACTGATATTGAGACCTGGTAATGACTGTGTATAATAAGGACAGGCACCTCTCCCCCCAGTATTATAGACTGACATCATTCATGTCTATATGTTCAAAAGAACAAAATACAAACTAGCAAAGGTCAACACCACGTACATACTCTGTGATAAAGGGGATTATCCCAGGAATACAAGATTAGTATACTAGGAAATTAATATTATACTTTATTAACAAATTTTAAAATTCTGTGATTATCTTCAAGAAGCCTTTGACAGAATCTGTTTTTTATTGCTAAGGAAAAATAGCTCAGGAAAACGCATTGTAGAGAGTTCACTTACAATTTTTTTATAGTACACAGAAAATGCAGCTTCATACACATTGGAAGAAAGTTACTTTAGTCACATTTATAGGTAGTTATGAATATATGTATTTGATTTTTTATCAAAATCTTTACAGTTGGTTTCCTAAATAATTAAAGTTGCAATATACAGTTTAAAACTATATGAATGGGCTGGCGCCGCGGCTCACTAGGCTAATCCTCCGCCTTGTGGTGCCGGCACACCGGGTTCTAGTCCCGGTCGGGGCGCCGGATTCTGTCCCGGTTGCCCCTCTTCCAGGCCAGCTCTCTGCTGTGGCCAGGGAGTGCAGTGGAGGATGGCCCAAGTCCTTGGGCCCTGCACCCCATGGGAGACCAGGAGAAGCACCTGGCTCCTGCCATCGGATCAGCGCGGTGCGCCGGCTGCAGCGCACCAGCCGCAGCGTCCATTGGAGGGTGAACCAACGGCAAAGGAAGACCTTTCTCTCTGTCTCTCTCTCTCACTGTCCACTCTGCCTGTCAAAAAAATAAATAAATAAAAAATAAAATAAAAAATAAAAAAACTATATGAATGGGGGCCAGCGCTGTGGTGCAATGGGTTAACGCCCTGGCCTGAAGTGCCAACATCCCAAATGAGCGCCATTTCAAGTCCCAGCTGCTCTACTTCTGATCCAGCTTTCCACTATGGCCTGGGAAAGCAGTGGAAGATGGCCCAAGTATTGGGCCCCTGCACCTATGTGGGAGACCCGGAGGAAGCTACTGGCTACTGGCTTCGGGTAGCCGGCACAGCTCCGGCCGTTGTGGCCAGTTGGAGAGTGAACCATCAGATGGAAGACCTCTCTCTCTCTGCCTCTCCTCTCTCTGTGTAACTCTGACTTTCAAATACATAAATAAATCTTAAAAAAAAAAAAACAACTATATGAATGAACTTGTTGTATTGGTATGTGAATATTCATTGGCCTATTTTGTACATGGAATGGGTATTTTATCCATGCTTGTTTTTATAACAATATCCCTTAGAGTTTTGGAAAATGGTAAGTTCCCTTAGTAATGCAGATCTTTCAAATGATGACATATTTCACATACAATATTTAAAAAATCACGTGAATATCACCATCAGTCTCATCGGAAGAGATTTAAGAACCAAAAAGCGGTCTTCAAAAAGTTTGTGGAAAATGTGTATTATGAAAAATTGTTAGGATTTTCAAAAATTTTTTTATCATGATAAACGTGCCTCATGACTCCCTTTTTCACTCACTTTTCTGAAATGCTGTATACGTTACAGGGACATGGTGCTCCGTTGCATGGATTTGCCACTTTTGTCTATCCATTGATAGCCATTTGGATTGTTCCCCTTTTGGCTGCTGTGTGTATTTGTGTTGCGGATGTTTGCTTGCGTTTTCCTTGGGCACGGATCTAGCAGTGAAGGTGATAGTGTTTTGAGAGGAGTTGGGGTTTTTCTCCTCTTCCTCTTCAGTAGTCTTTGGGGAGGAAAGGAAGGCCATGGCATGCCCTGTTCATGGTAGACATGGTCTCCTCTGGGATGGACAGGAAGGTGAGGAGGGAGGTATTTTTCTCTGAGGTGGTTTGGATTGTACACTGTATGAATATAGTACAACTTTATGCCAAAATACACTCCTCTGGTTTGGTGATTCTGGAGCCCTAAGAACATACATGTTCTTTCCTTTCTAGGGAATGGTGTGGATTTCTTTGAGATTAGATAGTTTTTTGTTTGTTTGTTTTTTTATTTGACAGATAGAGTTAGACAGTGAGAGAGAGACAGAGAGAAAGGTCTTCCCTCCATCGGTTCACCCCCCAAATGGCCGCCATGGCTGGAGCTACGCCGATCTGAAGCCAGGAGCCAGGTGCTTCCTCCTTGGCTCCGACATGGGTGCAGGGTCCAAGCACTGAGGCCATCCTCCACTGCCCACCCCAGGCCACACCAGAGAGTTGGATTGGAAGAGGAGCAACTGGGACCAGAACTCGGCACCCATGTGGGATGCCGGCACCACAGGTGGAGGATCAACCAAGTGAACCATGACGCCGGCCCCAAGATCAGATAGTTTTTAATACTATAGGAATATTTGGAGTTTTTTCTGTACTGGACTGTCCTTAGGCATTATGGTAAAGATTTTTTGCTTATTATAATTTATTTCAGTAAGAAATACAATTAATTTTAAAATGGTTGTTTGACTAATGTATACCTTCTGTATACAAGGCACACTCAGAGTTATAGTGTGTTAGGTCTACAGAGACTTTTAGAGAAGTTGAAGAAAATTTAAATAACTGCTGCTTGATTTTCAAAGCTCTAGATACTTTATTACATGAAGTGAGAAATGGTGTATATGTGGTTACGTCTCATTTTTTAAAATCAGTTACCAATGTTGGTGATCACAGTAGGCACTGCCAGTGACAGAGGAGTCTAAAGCTGGGCATACAAACGTGAGTAGGCATACAAGCAGATGAATGTGGATCACAGATATAAGTTTGTAACTTTTCTAGATTGTAAACTATGGTGTAATGAATAGTCAATTTTGTCCTAAATAGCACTATTTTACCATCACTATTACTTTAGGCTCCTGGATTTGGATTTGGAATTGCAATATCGGGTGGAAGAGATAACCCTCATTTTCAGAGTGGAGAGACCTCCATAGTAATTTCAGATGTGCTGAAGGGAGGACCAGCCGAGGGGCAGCTACAGTAAGTGTCTTTTTTTTTTTTTAAGGTTATTTATTTATTTAAAAGATAGTGTTACAGACAGGCAGGGTGGGGTGGGGTACAGTTAGTGTCTTTTCTCCTCTGGGGTTCCTGTGTGGCAGGTGCCACTTAGGTACTCAGTTACTGGCCTGCTGATTTCTTGATTGCTTTGTATTCACAGGCCACCTGCACCACAGTTTGTCTAATGTTTTTTTCTTAAATCAACCTAAGCTTGTACTTAAGAAGGAAGGCTTAATCATAAATTGAGAATTTAGCATCACTTACTTTAAATAGAGGCAAATGTAAACATGAAAATAGTGGGAAAATTGTGTTTTAATTTTAGTTAGAATGTAATCCTCAACAACTTCTGATCACATGTCTTGCCTCTTTTTGGTAATGAGATTAGTAAGATAGAAGCAAATGATATAGTAGGAAAAAAAATGGGACTCAGAAGGCTTTAAAGAAAATTGAGAGGGGAAAGCCTTTTAAAAGAGAATAACATTTTCCAGCTATATGACTTAGCATCATGTAATGCCCTCAAAGAGTATGACCCAAAATCATTTTGTCTCTCATGGTACCTGTTCAGTTTTTTGGGGGAGGCATTGTATTAAATAGTTAAAAGAAAATAGTCTTGAGAGATCTGAAAATAAGTAGTTTTTGACATTATTTTATCATTGTTCTAGAGACAAACAGATCAATTAGCTTATAACTGGAATTTTAAAATAATTAAGTTGAGAAACAGAGACCAACAGACATTCGGAGCATGCTCTAATCTACGAATTCACACTCCAGATAGCTCCAGTAGCTGGGGCTAAGTAAGACCAAAGCTGGAAGCCAAGAACCTGATCCACTTCTCCTCTGTGGTAGTAGAGACTTATGTACCTTAGACATTGCCTGTTGTCCTTGGGGCTGTACATTAGCAGGAGAGCTGGAACTTAAACCCAGGTACTCTGATATGAGACAGGGGTATTCCAAGCAGCAGCATAACCACTAGGCTAAACACCTGTCCCCAAAACTTTTTTTTTTTAATGTGCATCTTGTGTATGTCTTCACAAAATTAGATGTATGTTTTTGTCTAACATGTTGTTTTCATGACTTTTTTTGCCTTCAGGGAAAATGACCGAGTTGCAATGGTTAATGGGGTTTCCATGGATAACGTTGAACATGCCTTTGCTGTTCAGCAACTAAGGAAAAGTGGGAAAAATGCAAAGATTGTGAGTATCTTTAATAAAGGAATCAGTTTATTTGTTGATATGTTTTGGGTGTTTGAATTCATCCTTTCCCATCAAAAAAATGAAAACTGGAACTACAGTTACTTGTAAAACTGAAACTACAGTAGTAGTAACTTTCTTTTAATACTTGTGTTTTGTTACTGGTGTTTGTATTTTCTTAAAGTTCTGACGAAAAGATTTTTTTTTTAGCTGAAAAAAGGAAAGGGGGTAGTTAATGGTAACCTTTTAAAAATTTTTTTGTTTTATTTATTTGAAAGAAGAGTTAACAAAGAGAAAGGGAAAGACAGAAGGAGAGATCTTCTGTCTGCAGGTTCATTCCCAAATGTCCTCAATTTGGATCTGGCCCAGGCAAAAGCCAGGAGCTTCTTCTGGGTCTCCGACATGGTGCAGGGGCCCAAGCACTTAGACTGCCTCCTGCTGCTCTCCCAGGCGCATTATCAGGTAGCTGGATTAAAACTGGAGCGGCCAGGACTGGAACTGGCACCCAGTTGGGATGCCAGCGCTGCAGACAGAAGCTTCATGTGCTTCGCCACAGCGCCAGCCCTAAATGGTTACCTTTTTATGGCTGGCTGTGAGACCGGGTCTTGGCATGTAGTCGGTCAGAAATACATGATCCTGTTTTCTGATAGATTTGTTTATTGGGCAAGTTTTTCATTACTTTTTTTTTTTTTTTTTTTGACAGGCAGAGTGGACAGTGAGAGAGAGAGACAGAGAGAAAGGTCTTCCTTTGCCGTTGGTTCACCCTCCAATGGCCGCCATGGCCGGCGCGCTGCGGCCGGTGCATGGCGCTGATCCTAAGCCAGGAGCCAGGTGCTTTTCCTGGTCTCCCATGGGGTGCAGGACCCAAGCACTTGGGCCATCCTCCACTGCACTCCCTGGCCACAGCAGAGAGCTGGCCTGGAAGAGGGGCAACCGGGACAGAATCCGGCGCCCCGACCGGGACTAGAACCCGGTGTGCCGGCGCTGCAAGGCGGAGGATTAGCCTAGTGAGCTGCGGTGCCGGCTAAGTTTTTCATTACCTCTTGAACAGATATTTGATCAGTTGCAGTCCTTGTTAGTGACATATCTTGAGGACAGAGAAAGTCTAAGATTTTCTTTGTAGAGTTACTCAAGGATGCATTTAATGTTGGTTCACTTTTTCATATTTCTCCTAGACTTCTTCTTTTTTCAAGTAAAGCAAGAGAAATTTAGTGAACTCTTGGTAACTGGCCTCAAATCACTATTAAAACTTGGAAAATATGGCACAGAATAGCTTTTCTTCCAAGTCATTTAAGACACTCAAATTTAGGGGCATGTGAGCCACCTCACCCACTTGTTGCTCCCAGGTTTTGCCCCACTTCGTTTCTGAAAGGCCTGATGAAGGCCCACCCTGAGGCCTTTGCTCAGGAGCCCGGGTGGGAGGCGTGGAGGAGTGACTGTCCTGCGTTGCTCAGGAGCCCGGGTGGGAGGCGTGGAGGAGTGACTGTCTTGCTTTGCTCAGGAGCCGGGGTGGGAGGCGTGGAGGAGTGACTGTCCTGCGTTGCTCAGGAGCCCGGGTGGGAGGCGTGGAGGAGTGACTGTCTTGCTTTGCTCAGGAGCCCGGGTGGGAGGCGTGGAGGAGTGACTGTCCTGCGTTGCTCAGGAGCCGGGGTGGGAGGCGTGGAGGAGTGACTGTCCTGCGTTGCTCAGGAGCCCCGGGTGGGAGGCGTGGAGGAGTGACTGTCCTGCGTTGCTCAGGAGCCCCGGGTGGGAGGCGTGGAGGAGTGACTGTCCTGCGTTGCTCAGGAGCCCCGGGTGGGAGGCGTGGAGATTTTGCTGTCTTGCTCTGTAGAGAGCCTTCCTAGCTGCCAGCGCACACCCAGAACTACAGTGGACCCAGTCCAGAGAAAGGCTTGGGCGGAGGATGCCAGGGGGCTGTTGCGCGAGCTGTGAGGGGTCTTGCACCTTTGGTTGCTAGGCCCTCTGGCCCTGTGTAGGCCACTGCGCCCTGTTGCTCATCTGCACACCAGAGTTGATGCTGGTGAGACTGAGTGTTTCTTACATCTCAGTATTTGGTTACTGCATTTTTTCAAATCGTGGGCACCTTCTAGTTCCAGTGTTTTCACAACCTTATATTTTTACAATTATAATGTTATTTTTGATGTGCAGTTAATACACGTTAGCTTTGTGGATGCGTTGTGGATGATAATTTTTTAAACAGTTTTTGTAAAATGAAATAGTGTTTACAAAAGCAAATTGCTAATTTTTTATGATGACTAATTTTGTTAGTTTTTGTAAGCTGAATAAGCTTTAGCTTTCTTGATTTAGCTGTTGTTCTTGAACATTATCATTGTGATTCTTAGTGTTTTTCAGATGAGTCGCTGCATTCCAAGGTTGGCCATCTTAGGCTCTCTCCCCCCTCTGTGAGGTGGTGAGCCTTACTCACACATCGTTTTAAGCCCTCTGTTCCTCTGTAATGTTGAGCTGTTTTGTTTTTCCATGCCAAGATGCTCAGCACGCATACCCAACATTGCTAACGCAGCTAAGAAGGCTGTATTCTTATACTACAGACTTTTCCCCAATAAAAGTGGCTTGATGACTAGGCTCAAAACCACTGAGTATGGAATTGACACATATTTGCCCAGGTGTTTAAGGAAGGAGTCTGGGTAGCTCAAAACTCTATCATTTGGAAGAAGAAACTTGGGAAGCTGGGGTGAATGGTTTTTGCTCTGTGGGAATAGAGGGGTTGAGTGGAGGCGTTTAATCATCAAAGAAGGTTGTTCATGTCTGCATTTGAGCAGTTTGGATCACATCATTAATTGATGTTGTCTTTCAGCGCCATAGACTCTTAGTGTCTTAAAAGTGTGGCCTTTCCTTGTAAGAGGTCTTATTTACCTCATCTCCAGCCATAATCAGAACCTCAGAAACCTCAAGTGTTTGTTGATTTTTGTTTCCACATCTGAATAACCAGATCTGCTTTCCCCATTACACAACCTGCTGAGTCTTCCCCTCTTCCTTATGCTCTCGTACTAGGTAGTAATCTGTTGATGTGGTTATCTTTCCATAAATTAAGAGCCCTTTGGATATGAGGCTTGTTAAAGGATTTCATTTTCATCAAACTAAAAAGTTAGAATATAACAACCATAATAAATATGGTTAATTGTATCTAGCCATGTATGAGGGGAAGCTAGAAATAGATTTATTGGTCACAATGCAATGAACAGGTATAATTTTAACTAAAATTCTGAGCATACTGGAAAAGCACTGTAAGGCAAGTGAATGAGCAAAACCGTCCTTGTTAAAACTTCTGTGACCATGCTAGTGTATCCTTCCTGATGTCTGTCAGCATTTCACTGCCGTGTACACAGTCCTTACCCAAGCCACTGAGTGATAGCATTTCCGTGTCCTTGTTTCCACAAATACTAGAAAAACACCATGGTGTAGTTGTTGTGTTTTTGTTTACTTGTTTACTTACTTTTTTTTTTTTTTGACAGGCAGAGTGGACAGTGAGAGAGAGAGAGACAGAGAGAAAGGTCTTCCTTTGCCGTTGGTTCACCCTCCAATGGCCGCCGCGGCCGGCGCGCTGCGGCCGGCGCACCGCGCTGATCCAATGGCAGGAGCCAGGAGCCAGGTGCTTTTCCTGGTCTCCCATGGGGTGCAGGACCCAAGCACTTGGGCCATCCTCCACTGCAATCCCTGGCCACAGCAGAGAGCTGGCCTGGAAGAGGGGCAACCGGGACAGAATCCGGTGCCCCGACCGGGACTAGAACCTGGTGTGCCGGCGCCGCTAGGCGGAGGATTAGCCTAGTGAGCCGCGGCGCCGGCCATGTTTACTTACTTTTTAAGACTCAATTCTTAGGAGTGGCTTTTCAGAGTCAGAGGGCATGGACGGTTCGATGTGTGTATTGTTAATGTGCCCTACAGAGAGACAGTAGGATAGCAAGAACTCATTTTTTTAATCAATACTTTAAAATAGTTGACAAGCTGATAAATTGGAGTCTTTAAGTGAGTATTGAGTATTTATTCATTTATTTGAAAGGTAGAGTGATAGAATGAGATCTTACATCACCTAGGTTCTTCCCAAAAGCCTGCTACAGCCATTGCTGGACCATGCCGAAGCAAGGAGCCTGAAACTCCATTCGGGTCTCCTAGGTGGGTGGCAGGGACCCAAGTGCTTGGGCCATCATCTGCGGTCTTCCCCAGCAGAGGAAGCTGGATCTGAAGCGGTAGAGCTAGGGTTCCAGCTGGCATTCCATAGTGGGATATGGGCATCTTAAGCAGCAGCTCAACCACTGTGCCACAGTGCCTGCCCCTGAATGAAATAGTGTGATCGCAAGTGGATTTGACCTCTCTAGTGTATTTATTACCCATTTATATCTCTTTTTTTGGGTGTTAGTTTCCCTTGTGTTTATTTGGTGTATATTGGTTTTCTCATTTGATTTTTGTGACTGAGTTGTTTGGGGTGATTTTTTTTTTTTTTAAATAACATTTTGTTGCAACATGGAAATTTTTAATTTTTGTGTTGTCATGTCTGTCAGACTGACTTTGTTGATTCTGCCTTTGATGCCATCCTTACAAAAGCCTTTACCTTCCTGGAATGCTATATTTTGTTCTAGTACTTACTTGCACTCCTTGTTTTATTTTATATTCGAATCTTCCAGAGAGCTTTCATTCTCTGCAGGGATGACGGGAGGGAGAGCCTGCAGTGCTCAGCTGCTGACTTGGTTTTTGTCTACAATGAGGGGGAGCTAGAGGCTGCAGGACCACTACAGAGCATTACTGCTTGTGCAGGGTATTGGAAGTTGAAGTTGGGAGGCTCAGAAGGGGGGCTCTTAGGATGCTGGCTGTGATGTGAGACTCGGCGATGCAGGCACTGTGAGAGAGACAGCCTTCCTTCCGCGTCTGGAGCAGGGTGCTGACTGCCCCGCTGGTCTCATGCTGGTCTCTACTGCATCTTGTCCTTTAACTGCAAAGTTGGCTCCTCAGAACAGCCCTCCATGATCACTCTTGGTGGTAGTAGGAGG